CTCGAGGTGTCAGATGCGGTGGCAGCTGACACACGCGGTTTTCCATATGGAAAATTTGTGGATAAAAATAGCCTGGTGCCGGAAAAGCAGAGACGGAGGAGTTTGGGGTTGAAGGCTGCAGCACCGGAGAGTGGGAGGGGGATGGAGGGGCCGGGAGCAGAGCCGCGGATCCAAGGACGCCATTCCCGCAGATTTACCTGTCCTGGAAGAGCGGCCCCGGGGAGGTGAAGCACTGGAAGGACATGATCGCCCGCCCGCGCCAGGCGGTGGCACAGTGGCACCAGCTGAAGGCCTGAGCCCCCGCCCCCGCGGGCTCGGGAGCCCCATTCCCAGCTCCCAGCCCTGCTCCCGGCGTGGGACCGGCGGGACAGCGGGACCCTGCGGTAGGAGGGCTTGGGAGCCCCCCCAGCCTCCCCCGCTCTCACCCCTTCCGGCTCTGGGGTTCCCAGAGCTGCCGCGGCCCCCTGGGCGAGGAGGTGCCAGAAGGGAGGATTTCCCCCCTCCATCCCTATTCCCACCGCCGGGCTGGACTTCTGCGAGTGCTTCCGGAGCCTCTCGACCCCTCCCCGGCCTCGTCCCCCCCTCCCTCCACCCAGTTCCAGGGGGTCAGGCTGCGGGAGCAAGAGGGACCCCCCCTTCCCATTCTCTTCCAACTCAATAAAACCTCTCCGAGCGTCAGCGTGGCCCCCCGCCCCCCGCCCTTCCTCGCCACTCCTCGAGCCCCCCGGGGCAGCCCCTTTCCCTGGGATCGGAAGCCATGCCACAGTTCCTTATCCAAAGCGGGCCCGTCAGTGCACTGCCTTCAGCCGCGTTTGATGCTTTACCTCCGTCTCCGGGCTCGGGGGGCCCACAAACCCCCCGTGGGGACCCCCCAGTCCCGCCCTCAGCCCCTCCCTGGGCAGGTGGCGGCCCCTCAGGAGGCTGCTGGGCTCCACGGAATTCCCTCTCCAGTCGGGATGATGCCGGGCCCCGTGAGCCGCTGGGGATAAAGGGTGGAGCGAACGCTGTTGTCCCCACCCCGGGCAGGCGACCTTCCCTGCACTGGCGGCATTCCCGCCCGGCAGGATCAGTGCCAGTAGCACCCCTGAGTTCCCCCGGGACGCGCATTCCCGCCCCACCGGGACAGGGATCCCCCCCCGAAACGGGGACAGACCCGAGGGGGATCGGGGGAGAGTGACAGTGGGGGTCATCCAGCGCGGCGGACGACGGATCATCCTCAGTCTTCCTGCTCCCACCGTGGCTCCCACCGCCCTTCACCCCTCCCGCGCCCACGGGGGGGACACCGACACCCCTCCGGGTACCACCGAGGCCACGTCACGATCGTCAGAGTGTCCCCCCCGTGTACAGCCCCTCACGGTGACACCGGGTACTTGGAGCGGGGGACACCCCCCGAGGTGCTCCAGGGGATTCTCTGCTGCAGGGAGGGGAACCTGCATCAGAATCCCTCAAAACCCGCGGGATTCCCGACTGCTTGGTCCCTCTTCTCGAGGGGCGACATCCCTGCCACCGTGGGGACAAGCCAGCTGGGGACACGGTGGTCGCGGGACAACCCCTCCCGCAGCCCCGATTTAGACGATTTTGGACAATCTGGAGAGAAAGTCATAATTCTGCTACTTCAGTAATAACGACGCTTTTAGGGACATTTGTATTTTTGTCAGATTCTCTCTTTTTTTTACCATAAAAGAAGAGATTTACACGCCTGGGGAAGGGGACGGAGCCGAGGGGTTTGTGCTAAGCCCCTCCCTCGCCCCATCTCGCTTTTCCAGGCCGGATTCCTCGTCCGCGGTCGGGCTTCCCGGGGAGGCTTTGTGTGTTCATTTTTAACTCTAGAGCTCGTAGCTGTGATCTTGTTCAGGTATTTCTCTTCTTCATGTGACAGTAACATCCAACTGGTGTGTAAAATACATCAAAAAAACAGGCAGGAAAAAAAAAAAAAAAAGAGAAAAATAATAAAGGTATAAAAACCCACCCAACTAAAGATCCCAGCGCGGCCCAGCTGAGGAGCGGCTGGAGCGAGGAGTGCCCGGCTAGTGATGCCAGGGAAGGGGCGCGCGGGTCGGGGCGTCTCCTTGGTGGAATCCTATTTTTGGGGAGCGAGGCCCCTCGTTTTCTGGAGGCAGGCCCTGCTCTCAGTAATAAAGGACAGTCAGTAACTGCCAGAGTGACTCGCCTCTGGCATCGCGGGAATGGGAGGCGGGATCCTCGGGGGCGGGTCCCGCTCGGATTGGGGATGGGAAACGTGGGTAAGAGGTCCCCCAGCACAGGGAGACCCCCAGCACTGAAGATCTCCCCAGCACTGAGCATCCCCCTGTTCCCTGAGCGAGGGTTGCCCCAAGCCCTGGGTATCTCCCCAAAACACTGAGGATCCTCCCCCAGCCCTGCATATCCCTCCACTCACTGAGTAATCCCCAATTTCCTGAGTATCCCCCTGAAAACACTGATTATCACCCCCCCCACTCACTGATTATTCCTCTCCACATTCCCAAGGTTGGGATAGGCCATGCTGGGGGGCCTCCTGGTGAAAGGGACACATTTTGGGAAGCAAAGAAAACAAGGACCCCCCTCCAAAATGTCCCTGTAAAGAAGACAAGGACAGCCCCTATCCTGCAGCATCCCGGGCTTTCCAGGAATCCTCTGGCAAATCCTGGGGCTTCGAGGGCAGTTAATGAGGGCTAATTAAGAGCAGCGCTGGGAAGAAGCTCCAAGGAGAGGTGAGTGGAAGTGAGGGGATCCTGCTGGGATTGGGATCCCCCTGGGGACTTCAGGGACGATGGTGACACCCCCAGCAGGGTGACAACTGGAGAGGAGACTTCCCATTCCATCCAGGCCTGGGATGGATTCCTTGGGACTGCAAGTGCTGGGTAGGGACTGGAATGTGGCTCTGGAGGGTGGGAAGAGGCAGGAAACCCTATCCTGGGTGGTGCCACAGGGAACGTGTCTGGGAGCCACCACAAAGGCTCCAGTGACCAATAAATAATTCAGCAAAATCTGCTCTTGAATAAATCAATGAAATTCTAAACGCTGGGATGGCAGGAGAGCCGTGTCTCCATGTCCTGGATGAAATCCCTCCAGATCCACCTTCTGGGCCTTGGGATGCAGGGGACAAAACTGTCTGCTGGCCACCCATGCCCTGGTGGAGGGGAGGTGGCTGGTCCCACTCTGGCTCTGGCTCCAGTCGAGCCAAACTTGGGAATTTCAGCATCTCAGCATTCCTAAGCTTCTGTTGGCCTGGCTCTGCCTGTACTCCCACACCAGCACCGGGTTTCTTTTATCACCCGAAACCTTGGAAGGTGGCAAAAAGTGCAGCAATCCCGGTGCTCCTGTTGCTCAGATCCGTTGCAATTCCCAATCCCGCTCCTTTGTGCTGGCAGCCAGTGGGAGCAGATGGGAATAGCAGCGTGATCCCAGCTGCGGAGAGGCCACAAGCTGGTACACGCCAGGCCGGGAGAGGAGGTAGGGATATATATAGGCACAGACGTATGGATGATGCATTCCCGGGAGCCGGGGCTCACTGGTGCCAACATTCCCAAAATACCTGAGTGGAGCAGGAATCTGTCAGATTCCTACTGGCTGCAGCAGCTCCTGGTCCTGGTGGCACCATGATCGTCACCAGATCCAACTCCTTCCCCAGCCAGGGTGTGGAAAACAGGACTGGAAAAAACTGGGTGGTGGAAAAAGACCCCAGGGAGGTAGGATCCCCCTTTCCCAAGTGTAGGAGCTCCTGGATTTGATCCCGACCATAAGGACGGGGGGGCGGCATCGAGAGCCACCTGCATCCCTATTCCTGCCAGACATGGATGGGCTGGTGTGGGTTTACATGGAACTGGTGGCCTTGGACCTCGCTTAGAGCCAGAGATTGGAATTCTGAGGGTCTCTGTCCCCCAGGTGATGGATAATTCCTGCTAATTAGCAGCAGCGTCTTCCCAGGAAAAGCAGCAGCACCCCCACATTGAAGGCACAAGGGACTGGGAGCGACCCAGCATTTCAGGACCATGTTCCTGGGAATTTGTGGAATTCTGGGATACTCTGTTCCCCGGCCCCACAGTGGGTGGGAAAAGGGATTGACAGCCTGGATGTGTTCAGAAGAGCTAAATCCAAGAGGGAAGAGCAAGTCGAGCTCCTACTAAGCCCTAAATCCCTGGAATTACTGCTGGAAAGGCAGAAGCATCCTCAGCCTGAGCTGCTGGAAGGGGTGGCACCGACAGCTCCCACACATCCCGCACTTGAGGATGCTCCATGTGTCCAAAATAGCCACTGTGGAGTGGGAAAGGGGGGAAAATCCAGCGCTGCCAGCTCCAGAGAGGATGTGGCAGGAGCTCTGGCTGCTTCCCAGCCCCCAAACCCAGACCCCTCGGGATTAAAAGCGGCGGTGCGGTCAGAAACCTCCAGCAACTTCCAGACCTCAGATCCGTGAGCGTCCCACCACACTGGAATGGCCTGGAGACAGGTGGAGGGAAACGGGACTCCTCCAATGCCAAAAATAAAAGGAGCACCAGGATGTGTTGCCGTGTTCAGATCCCAAATAAACCTTTCCTGAGGCTGCTCCCTGTCACCTTTCCCTCACACCAGGTTTCCTTGGAATTGTGCTTTTTATTGCTTGAGTTTGGTCCAAGAGGCACTTGGAGACAGGAAGAGGGGAGGATAAGGCAGCAGAGCCCTGGATTTGGTGTCTGTTTTGGAAAGTCTCCTCTTCCCACAGAGGGAAAGCCCTTTCCAGGTTGGAGACAGGCAGGTGGAATTTCCATCGGCTCCTTCCCAAACCTGATGGTCAGGAGGAGCCGGGTGGGAAATTCTCTTCCCAAGCCCAATTCCAGCAGCAGGATGGGGATTTTGGGGTTGAGAAGGGGTCTGTGCCTTCATTCCCAAATCCTGCAGCTCTTCAGTATGCCAGGATCCATGTGGAATGGATTCAACCGGCACTGCTTTTCCCTGTGCTGCCCATGGAGATGGGAGTAAAGGATTTTCGGAAGTGGCCGGGCAAGAATGTCCCTGTGCTGGTGGGGACACTGAGACTGGGTAGGAGGGTCTGTGGGGTCACCCCTCAGGCAGGGGGCTGTATCCCAGATCCAAGATACCCTGGGATGCTCCCGGGTGGGCTCGTGGATCCAGATAGCGATCCATGAGATCCAGGAGGCAGCTCCTTGCTGTCCCAGCTGGGAGATGCCGATCCTCGGACTACCGATTTTTCCACGTGGAGGCTGTGAGCTTCCTGCTTTCCCAGCCCGAACTGAGAATTCCTTGGGAGGCAGGTGGAGGTCCCACGTCCCTCACGTTTCCTCCTGGGAGCCCGTCAGGGCCTCAAATTCCTGCTCCCCGTCCTGTGGCCCGTCCTCGGCGGGCACCGGAGCGGCCTCGGCTCCTTCCTCCTCCTCCTCCTCCTCCTGCTGGAGCTGAAGGCTCCGCAGCCGCTCCTGCCGCGCTTCCATGTATTCCTGCGCCCCGTCCCCCACCAGCCAGACCTCATCCCCGACCGGCGGCGGCTGCTGAACCGGGTTGTGGTCGTAGGAGAGCAGGCGCAGGGCGCCCAGGCCGGTGAGGTCCGGGAAGCGGGAGACGCGGTTGCGATCCAGGTCGAGGACGCGGATGCCCTCCATGCGCAGCAGCACGGGCGGGAATTCCTGGAAGCGGTTCCCGTAGAGCCAGAGCCCGCGCAGTCCCGCCATGCGGGGCAGCCCCGCGGGGAGCTGGGACAGCCGGTTGTCCCCCAGCTGGAGGCTGCGGAGCTCGGGAAGGTGCAGGAGGGCGCGGGGGAAGCGCGCCAGGAAATTCCCCTCTATCCAGAGGCAGCGCAGGCTCTGGAGCTGGGAGAAGGCGGGAGGCAGCCCTTGGAGCCCGTTGCGGCCCAGGTACAGGTGAGCCAGCCGGGGCAGGTCGCACACGGCCTCGGGCACCTCCATCAGCTCGTTGCCGTCCAGAGCGAGGGTGCGGAGGTGCCGCAGCTCCCCGAGCTCCTCCGGGATCTCCTGCAGCCCCGCGTCGCTCAGGTAGAGCTTCCGCAGCCCCGGTTCAGCCCACAGCGCGGCCGGCACCTGCCGGCTCCGCACCTCTAGCCGCTGCTCGGTGCCGTCGGGGCCCTCGGCGGCCGCCACGGGGGCCCCGCGCCCCGAGGAGCCGCCACTTCCCATCGCGAAGTGGCGGGAGAGGCACCGGGGGAGGCACCGGCAGCGGGACGTGGGCGGGGCGACGCCGTGGCCATGGCAACGCCAGCGGCCAATAGGAGGCCGCGTTGCCCGGGAAGAGGCCACGCCCCCAGTCCACATTCACGGGGTCCCCCCCCGCGCCCTATTTACGGGCGCTATCTGGGCCCTCCCTGGCCGCCCCCTATCCCCAAACAAGGCAGGGCCCTCTCGCGCCTCGTTCCCAGCCCCCTCCCGGTAGCCTGTGGTCAGCATCCCCACCCTGAACTGGGTGGGAGTCTTTGAGCTGGGTGGGGTCCCTAAACTTGGAGCCGGGGGGGAGGGTGGTGGTCCCTGAACTGGGGCCCTAAACTGGGTATGAGGCCCTAAATTGGGTGGGGGGCCCTCTGGGACCCCCAGGGAGCTGGGGGTGGGGGGTCCCTGTGTGATTCCCCACATCCCAAGGAGCCGCCCCTGGGAGCACAGACCCCCTTCCCAATGCCCTTCCACTGCTCCGTGGCCAGGGTGGGCATTGATGAAGTCCCCCAAGCGCCTCCCGCACGCACCCTACGGGGTCCTTCCTCCTCCTGATCCTCCCGCTTCCCACCCCAGCCCTGTCTGGGTTTTCCTGCCGCAAATCAGCTGTGTCATCCCAAATCCAGCTCGGAAAAACGGGCTCGTACCGCCCTCCAGTGGCCGCAGGACGAGTGACACCCCCTGACCCCTCCAAATCCTCCTTCCCGGAAGGATTTGGGAGGCAAGAAACCCCGAAAACGAGGAGGGGGCTGACTGGGATCGTGCGCAGGGTCTTTAATGCTCTCACGGGGATTTGGGAGCTTCCCGAAAAAGCCGAGGCTGGGACTCCCGGAATTTTGGGGGTCACATGAAGGGGTCATCGTTGTGCCACAGATTGGTGGGGAGGTTGTTGGTGCTGAATCCACTGGGACGGGGGCCCTGGACACCCTCCACGGATCTGGGAGCCCAGGTGGGACCCTGCGACCACCAGGCTGGGAAATCCAGGAGGAAAGCATCAGTGAGGGTGGAATTGCCCACTCCCTGGTGTGGGGGGGGGGAGGGCTGCAATCCCACCCCACGCTCACCTGGAGCAACGGGAGCCAGGGGTGAGATGTTGGTCAGGTACTGGTTGTGGATTGTGGCGTATCCCGGCGGATCCTGCGGGATGGACGGATGGAGGTGGGTTGGGCGCGCGATCCTATAGGAAAAGGGGCTTGGGACGGGCGGCATTCCCGCAACCCACCTTCTTGCTGGATTCCTGTGGTCCCACTCGGAGCTCCAGGGGCCCGAACGGGGCGTGGTGGCCCATGGCGGGCAAACCCTGCGTGGGAACAGCAGGATGAGGAGGGGACATGGACGCATCCCACTCGTCCCATCACTTCCCGGCTGGGAGCACAGGGATGCAGCATCCCCTCCCCACGGGGGTCTCGCCACCCCCTCCCCGGCTCACGTGGCGGCTCTCGGGGCAGCAGGGATCCACGGTAGGATCCACGGGCTGCGGAAGCTGGCAGGCGTCTCTCGGGGGGCAGCTCGACGGCTCCGGCCTCCACGGCGGGGCATCTGCGGGGAGCACACGGAGCACGGGTGTTCCCACTTCTCCCAGCACCATTCCCAGTCTGGGAATTACCTGGACACACTTGTGCCCCTATGCTTGGTGGCGGGGGGAGGTCTCCAACCATCCCAAAACCTCCTGGGGTCAGATTTGGTTCCAGGACTGACACCGCCAAAATCCTTGGAGTCAGCCCTGGGACCATCAACATCCCTAAAACCTTCCAGGGGATGGAGCTGGGCCTGGAACCACCAATATCCCAAAACCTTCCTGGGGATGGAGCTGGGCCTGGAACCACCAATATCCCAAAACTTTCCTGGGGATGGAGCTGGGCCTGGAAACACCAGGACCCCAAACCCTCCTGGGGATGGAGCTTATCCCGGCATCCCCACACACCAAATCTTCCTGGGAATGGAGCTTTCCCTAGAAACCCCAACACCCCAAACCCCTCCTGAGAATGGAGCTGGGCCTGGGACACCCAGGACCCCAAAATCTTCCCAGGGATGGGCCTTCCCTTGGTTCTCAACACTCCAATCTCTCCTAGGGATGAAGCTTTCCCCAAGACCCCAGAATCTGCCTGGGAATAGAGCTTTCCCTGGGATCCAAACACCCCAAACTGTCCCAGGGAGCTTTCCCTGGATCCCCTCCATCCCAAATCCCTACCTGGCTGGGCAGGACTGGTGCAGCCACTCTTGGCGCTGTGTTCCCTGGATAACTTGGGAGGCTTCAGCCCCTCGTAACAGATCCGGGAGAGGGAAAACTCCGGGGGATATGAACACTCCAGCTCATCCACACACTGGGGCAGGATCCTCTGGAATTGCGGGCGCCCGAAGGGCTTGAAATCCTCAGCAGTGGCGGAGATGGACACAAAGGGGTCCGGGCTGTGATGGAAACGGCCGTGACGGAGCGATCCCAACGTTTCCCCACCCAGACTCGTCCCAGAGCAGGGACCTACCGTTCGGAGCACGGCGTGATCAGGGATGAGAGGGCCGAGTAGTTGTTGGTGACGTATCCGGATCCAGAATGGACCCCCAGGAGCGGGTGCACGGACGCCTGGTCGGGGGGTTTGACTCCCAAAACGCGCCCCTCAAACTTGTGGGATAATCCCTGGGGTCTCTTCCCGAAGGACACCTCGTAGGTGGTGACATAGAGGCTCAGGAGGTCGGAGCGGTCCCCGCCATGCACCCTCACCAGCGGGAATCCCGTTCCCAAGCCCCCAGCTGGGGAATCCTGCGGCAGGGAAGGCATCCTGGCACCGGGATAGAAGGGCCCTACGCCATGGCTGGAGGTGCTGGCAGCAGCTCCCGGCCTTCCCAGGGGGCCCAGAGGGTGTGGAATGTTGCCGTGGAATGTGACTTGGTCTCCTGGCAACTGCGACAATGGGACTCCAGGGAGTCCTGGAGCACCGGGAATGTGGAGCTTGGACAACTTTGGGAGGGAGTACAGCCCTTCTGGGTGTGGGGTCACCTCCCTGGGAGCCCGGGAAAAGGGGGCAGGTGGGAATTAGGGGTATCAGTGGGGTGGGATGTGCCAGAGCGAGGTGGGAATGTCCCCAAGGACCGGACCCTGATGTCACAATGTAGGAAAGCAAGGCCAGCAGCCCCGGCTTTATTCAGCATTCCAGCATTCTACAGTGTCCAGAGGCTGCCAGAAGAGGAGGAGAAGCCCAGGGAAGGCGGCAGCAATTCCACAGATCCCCGTGTTCCTGCGCTGCTGCGGGAAATGGGCATGGAGGCATCACCGCTGGGGCTCAAACAGGTATTCCAGGTCCGGCTGCTGCAGCCGCTGCTCCCTGTTCCTGTTCCTGGCAAATTCCCGGAGCATGTCCAGCACATCGTGCTCGAATTCCGCCGGAGCCGGCTTGGCTTCTGCAGGAAAACAGGGAAAAATCGGCCCTGTGTTGTCCCGAGGCACCCCGGGGGCCCATCCCGGTGTTCCGGGGGGGTCCCCACGCACCAGTTGCCCAGTAATAGATGTCCCAGTCGTTACTGGGCTCGTTGATGAGCCGGTCGTAGCGGTTCAGCTGCTCCTCACTCATCTTGCCCAGGTTTTCCTTGGCGAAGAGGCTGGGAAAGGCACGGATATGGAGGGGAGGTGGGAGAAGAGGTGGGATACGATGCCCAGCTCAAGGCGATCAAGGAAAACACGGACCCCCAGCCTGTTTTCTGTTCAGCTCAGCGGGTAGGAAAACACCAGCACGGCATTCCCAGAGAAGCCGTGGAATTCCCAGCCTTGGAAGTGTCCAAGGTCAGGTTGGAAAAGAGCCTGGGGCAAGCTGGGCTAGTGGAAGGTGTCCCTGCCTGTGGCACCTGTTCATCCCAAATTATTCCAGGGTTCCACGTGCTGGTTTAGATGGGATTTGGGGAAGAAATTCTTCCCCGTGATGGTGGATTTCCCAGAGAAGCTGTGGAATCTCTATCCCTGGAAATGTTCGAGTTGGAGAAGGGCTTGGAGCAACCTGGGATAGCGGAATATGGATTTGACAGTCCCTTCCCACCCAAACTATCCCAGGATTCCAACCTCTACTTCAACCCCAACATCCAAGTGGCCTTGCCTCCACACATCCCAGGATTCACACACATCCTGCAAAGGACTTGGGCTCAGCCCTCCCCAGGCTCTGCTCCGTCCTCCCCACTGGATCTTGGACCTGCAAAGCCCTTGGGATGGTTTATCCCGTGGATTTTGGCTGTGCAGTCCCTCACTAAAGCCCTTCCTGCAACTCTCGGGGCTCTTCCCTGTTAATGCACCCGCCGGGACACGCCTGGAGCCCATCCCACCTGAGCAGGATGCAGTTTTCCAGCATCCCCCTCTTCCTGCTCTCGTAGAGCAGCCGGGCCCTCTTGGTGTCCAGCGGCTCCTGGGGACGCTCCTGCCAGGGGGGCAGCGGGATCTCCAGCACGTCCTTCCCGGAATCTGGCGGGGAATCCCCACGGTATCCACGCCAGGGGATCACCGGCACCGCCAGCTGCCGGCGCAGGGAGCGGAGCTGGGAACAGGGAATGCCCAGAGATGTCAGGGCCGGGACCTCCCCAAATCCTGCAGGACACGATTCCCAGTCCCAAACCACCCCAGGACTCTGCTGCTCCCAAACTCCCCCCGGTGCAGCCACATCCCGTAACACCTTCCCAGATCCTGCTGCCCCCAATCCCTTATCCCAAAACCCCCCCAAATCCCTTTTTTCCCTATTTCACCCCAGAACTCCCTTTCCCCCCTTCTTCTCCCCCTTCCCATCCTCCTCCCACCTTCCCTCACAGACCCTCCTTTCCTCTTCCTTCCCTTCCCTTTCCCCCTCTACCTCCTTTCTCCGTTTTTCCCTTCCCTTGTTCCCGTTTTTTTAACTTTCCCCGCTTTTCCCCTTTTTCCCCCAAACCCTCCTTTCCTCTCCTTTTCCCCCTTCCCTTCCTCCCTTTTTCCCCCATTCCGTCCCTTTTCCCCTTTACCCCCAGACATCCATTTCACCATCTTTTCTCCCCCCTCTCCCTCTCCTTTACCCGCTTCTCCTCCACGTTTCCCCTTCCCCTTTCCCGTTCCCTTTCCCTGCCCTTTTTCCACGCCTTTCCCCTCTTTCCCTGCCCTTTTTCCCATGCCTTTCCCCCCCATTCCCCACCCTGGCCGCCGCCATGTTGCCCGCGGCCGCTCTGGCCCCGCCCCCCGACTCTATGCCCGGGGTGGGCGGGGCTTTTGACGGAAGTGGGCCTGTCCTGCACAGGAAGTGGGCGGGGCGCGGCGGCGCTGGCGGTGAGCGCGGACGGCGCGCGCGGGGCCGGGAAGGGGGGGAGGGGGGCCCGAAAGGAGGGGGAGGTCGCGACCTATCGCGACATATCGCGACTTGCCGCCCCCTCCCATCGCAACGCCCCATTCCCGAACTCCCCCCCTGGATCGAGCTCCTCGGGGCCGCGTACGGCGGGGATGGGCCGGGGGAGCCGGCGAAGGGGAGGCGAGGGGGGCGATGGGATTTGGGGGAACACAGGAAATTTGGGGGAAAAGGGGATCTAGGGACAGAAGGGATTTGGGGGGACAGAGGGAATTTAGGGGGCACACGGGCTTTGGGGGGAAGAAGGAATTTAGGGGGTAAGGGGATTTGGAGGGGAAAGGGGATTGGGGAGAAAACAGGGAATTTGGAGAGACGGGGGGTTTGGGGGAACAGAGGAAATTTGGGGGGACAGAGGGGGATTGGGGGGAAGAGGAATTTCAGGGGGACACAGGGATTTGGGGCAACGAGAGGATTTGGGGGGGACAGGGAATTTGGAGGGGAAAAAAGGGATTTGGGGGGAAAGAAGGAATTCGAGGGGGACACCAGGATTTGGGGGGAAGAGGGAATTGGGGAGTAAGAAGGGATTTGGGGGCAAAGTGGGGATTTGGGGGACAGAGGGGATTTGGGGGGGAAGAGTTTGGGGAGACACAGGGATTCGGTGGGAAAACGGGATTTGGGTTGATACAGGGATTTGGAGGAAAGGTGGAATTTTGGGGACTTTGGGGAGAAATGGGGAATTTGTAGGGACACATCCAACACATTCCCAAGGCTTCACTGACTCACTGCCCCGGCCCCCCTTTTCCCAGAGCACCTTCCGTGTCCCGGTCCCAGCCCGGGCTCCTGCTTTTTCCGCCTCTGGAAATATGTCCGAGGGAGCGGATCTGATTGACATCTACGCCGACGAGGAATTCACCCAGGTGAGGGTCGGGATCGGGATCTGCCCCCCCTGCTTTTGGGAAAGAACTTCCAGTGTCTTCCAGCTCAGCCAAGGTGTGGCTGAGAAAGGGCTGGGATCGTTCCCAAATCCCGGTGGTTGAGATTAAAGGGTTTCCCTGTGGGTCATGGATATTTGGGATTTAGGGGTTTAGCTGCATCCCAGGAAAACTGAGGAATCCTGGCTGGAAGAGGCACTTCCAGGGAATTACACAGTGAAGAGGTGCAGAGGGATGAATCCATGGGATCACTCGTCCTGTCCCATCCCAGGGGGGTCCGGGATTCACAGGAGGGAATGGGTGTTGGAGATGCAGCTCCTAGGGATTTCTTGGATCTGGGAGAGCCAAGTATGAAGTGAGAAGGTGGAAGATGGAAAACTGCCATGGAAAACCCGTGGAAGGAAGTTGGCAAAAGGAGAAGCCACAGGAAGTGGAAGGAAAACAGCTGGATTAAGGAATCGCCATGGAGGGAGGAATTCCTGGGAGCTTCTGGAGGGATAAAGAGGAGCTGGGAAGGAAGGAATTCCTGGGAGCTCCTGAATGGATGAAGAGGAGCTTGTTCTGCTTATTGGGTGACAATATCCATGGATTAGACCTTCAGGAAAACCAGGAAACTGTGTCCATGCATGACCTTGGAGCCCAGGGGGCTTCCAGGTGCTTTTCATCCTCCTGGGAAGAAACAGGAGTTGCCAAAATAATAGGAATGCCACCAAAAAAAGGGAGTTGTCTGTGCTGCCTGCAGTTTCCAACTTCCAAGCACCTCTCCTGCATCATTCCTGGAAAACTCCTGGAATAAACCAGGTTCCCAGTGTATTGAACTACCTTGCACTGGGACCAAATGGCTGTGGATTAGGAATGGCCTCAATTTGTGTGTTTTTATGGAATTTGCATTGGGCAAAAGGTATGCCTGGAGTTGGGAGAGCTGGAAAACTGCAGGAATGAGGGTGGAAAGTGGAAAAGTAGGAGAATCCGTGGCTGGAGTTGACGTGGGAATGTTTTCTGAGGAGCTCGGAGGGTCTGGGGTGGTTTTAGTGAAATCTTTGGGATCTCTGGGAATAAGGAAGTGAAGTGGGTGAGAGGAGGATGGGAGCAAGCTGGGATACACGGGAATTTTGGGAACAATACACCAAAGGGTTTTGACTAACCAAGAGGATTCTCAAAGCTGGAATGATGATCCAGGCCAACAGCTCTGGCACCTCGCTCCCTTTGGGATGTGTGGGAGCAGGAAACCCAGAGTGAATCCGTGTTGGGGTGTCCCTGTGGCATTCCAGGGATGCCAGTGTAATTCCAAATCCCACTAACAGTGCCCACTGGGCTTTATCCCTGTGCACCTGGATTGGGAGCCGGAGGATCCCGATAAACTCCCAAGCTGAGGCATCCTCCACGTATCCTTAGGGATTCCAAGTGATTCCTCCTCCTTCCTATTTTTGCTCTCCACTTTCTGAAACTTCCAGCAGGAACCTCCCAGCCTTGGGCCGTGTCCAAGGGCTCCTAGTGGATGTAGGAACGTGGGAGTGGGAATAACTAAACACTTGAGCTTTCTTGGGAATGAGCACAAAACTCCAGCTCCCTTTTCAAGTCCTGCTTTTTGTCAGCTCTGTGGGAAGAGCCGAATGCAAAGGATCAGGAAGAGGGAAAACAGTTGGATTTTAGGATTTCCATGATCCCTGTGCTGAGGATCCTTCTCCCTCTTGCTCTCAGCGGTATGTTTGCAATTCCCTGACTCTCAGAGTGTGGCTCTATCCTCCTCACACCATTTCCAGTGGAAAACATTATCCAAACTGCCTGGAATTCAAAATTTGGGAGCAGAACCTCTTGTTTTTGTGGGACACCAGCCCTGTGCCTCGCTCCCATGGGATGGATCCTTCCAAAGGGATTGAAGGGGTGTGCAGCTCCCAAGCTGGAATTTTGGGAAGCATGAGCTGCCAAGGAGGGAGAGGCTCATCCCTGGAGGGCACTTGGTTTTCTTGCCTTCCAAAGTGGGAATTTCCTCCTGGTGGTTTCCAGGAGCAGCAACTTGGGTCTTGTCCTGTTTGGGAAAGCTGAGATCCCAGTGGGCTGGTCCTTGGAATGTGCCTGAGCTCAGTGAGGTTTGGGATATTGGGAAGCAATTCTTCCCTGTGAGGGCGGTGAGGCCCTGGAATTTATTTTCCAGGGAAGCTGTGGCTGCCCCATCCCTGGAAGTGTCCAAGGCCAGGTTGGAAAAGGGCTTGGAGCAACCTGGAATAGTGGAAAGTGGATGAGATGGTCCTTAAAGTCCCAAACCATTCCAGGATTCTGATTCTAACCTCTGCTTCAGCCCCAAAATCCAAGTGGCCTTTTTTCCATATCCCCCAGGATTTACACACGTCCTTTCCAAAGGATTTAAGCTCAGCCATCCCTGGGAGCTCCCATTAGGGGAAGGTGGGAGGTAGGGGTGGGAATGGATGATCCTTAAGGATCCCACTCCCTTCTCATCCAAACCATTCCGGGATTCCATGATTCCGTGAAAGCGGAGCCCATTTTTTTGGGATTGCCCAGGTGAGGGGCGGCCGTAATTCCCAACCGTGCACAGACCCAAACCGAGCGATTTGGGTGGGAATTGGGACAGCCCGTTTGGAAAGGGAGAGAGGAGGCTTCCCGAGCCTTTTCCAAAGGCGCTTTTCCAGCAGGACGCGGAGTTCAGTAATGCTGACCAGATGGACCTGTACGACGATGTGCTGACGGCCAGCTCCCAGCCCCAGGAGAAGCGTTCCGGAGGCTCGGAAGCACCGCCAGAGCTGCGGCCGGAGCCGTGTCCCAAGCCCAACAGCAAACCCCCGGCCATCCTCTACACCTACAGCGGGCTCCGCAACAAGAGGGCCGCCGTCTATGTCGGGAGCTTCTCCTGGGTGAGGCCACGGAGGATCCAGAAAACCCTCCCAGGGAATTTGGGATTCTGGGAGAAACCCCCCCTCCACCCCAAGAAGCTGTTGGGATCTTTTGGCCTTGTGATCCTCAGGGAAAAGGGATTTGTAGCCCTGAGAGCTCCAGAGAAACCCCTGAGGGGCTGCAGGGCTTTTTGGGAGGGGTTTCTCAGCTCTTTGTGGGGGCTCCAGGGTTTTTTAGGGGAGTGCCTCTCCATTGGTGGGACCTTTGGGAGCTGCTCCCAAATCCCCTTTTCCCACAGGGAGAATTTTGGGAAGGTTTCGGCTTGCCTAGAGAACAGGGAGAGCTCTGATATCCATTCCCAGAGCTTTTTCCAGAGCTGAGGAGGATTTTAAGCTCCCTGAGGGACTCTGGGGGTGACATTCCCAGGGCGGGTGGGGGACACTGGGGACGGACAGACATCCCATTCCCTCTTCCCTCAGTGGACAACGGACCAGCAGCTGATCCAGACCATCCGCTCCGTCGGAGTCTACGACGTGGTGGAGCTGAAATTCGCAGAAAACCGAGCCAATGGCCAATCCAAGGGGTAAGAGCCGGCAGGATTGGGGTGGGAGTGGGGCCAGCTGGCACCTCCCTTGGTTTGGGGAGGAGTGAGGGTGCTTTTCCCCCCTGGCACAGGGGATGCACCCGGAGACTCCCAAAGGGAGGAGGTAACGTGGAACACCGGGATGGGATCAGGAATGGGGTTCTGCGGGCTCTGTTGAGGGGGTGGAATTTGGGAAAGGGGCCCCTCACCTCGAGCAGGGGGTAAACCTCCCTCTGTCCTGCGCAGGTACGCGGAGGTGGTGGTTGCCTCCGAGAACTCAGTGCACAAACTCCTGGAGCTCCTTCCTGGGAAGATCCTGAACGGAGACAAGGTGGAGGTGAGGTTGGCCACCCGGCAGAACCTGTCCCAGTTCGAGGCCCAGGCTCGCAAACGTGAGTGTGGCGTCGGAACGGTGTGGGCGGGGGGATCCACAGCGCACACAGCCCCCCAAACTCCCCCCCGGATCAGCTGCCAGGCCCAGCCCAGCGAGCCCTCGGGATGGGGGGAAAAGCAGGAGTGCGTGGGGGTTGTTTTTCCCGTTCCTCAGCCGGATTAGCTCCTGACCCGAGTCTTTATGATCCCCTTTTAGGTACTCCCACACTGCGAAGATCCCTCGTAGCCTCCTCCTCCTCCTCTCCAAACTGAATGGGCTTAAGCTCTTCAGGCTCTGGGCATAGCTAAGACCCTCCATATCTATTAGTAGCTCCAATCTGGATCTGCTCCAGAGTTTTTCCATCCCTGCGGAGGTAAGGTGCCCAACACTGGAGGAATATTCCAGCTGGGACCTGGCCGTATGGCGATAGGTGGTCCTGGCCTCACTCCGCAGCGATGCGACGGGATCCGCAGGGATTGTCCTGGCAGGAGTGTCCAAGGAGGTCTTTGTAGGTCCCATGGCATGTTTGGTGCAAGGAAAACCCCTCTTCCCTGCCCCTGGAGTTCTGGTGGAGCAGGGGGTGATCCCTGAGAGTTCCGGGTGCCCCCAGGGCGCAACAGAGCTTCCATGGATCCTTCGGGAGCTGTGGCTCCCTGAAACCCCTCCTTTCTCATCCTCAAAGCCTCTTCGGGCAGAGCAAGGCTTCTTCTCCTTCTTGGAATGCCAAGTTTTCCTTCCTCTGGCAGCAGCTCCATTGCTGTCAGTTCTGACCCCTCCTTGTGCTCCTCCATGCTTGGGCCTTCCAAAATCCACATGTGGATCAGGCTCTCTGGGTCTTTGGGGATCTCCCCCCGCTCCTTGTGGCTTTTGGCTCCTGTCCCTGTGTCCTCCCTGTCCCCCAGGGCACCGTGCGGGTTCTTGGAGAGCTCTTGGAAAAACCCATGGAAGTGGACACTACATTTGGCCGGCTGGATCTTTTCCCTGGGCACCTCCAGCTCTCCGGGGATGGGAGGCAGAGGAGGAGCAGGAGCTCTCCGAGAGCTGGAGACCCTCCAGCTGGAATTCACAGCTCTTGCCCCGTCCTGATCACAGGTGTGCCGCCGCGGGCCCACTCCCGGGATTCTGTGGACGCCATGGACGGCCGGGCGACGCCGACGGACAGTGCACTGCCCCCTTCCCGCATGGAAAAGCCCCCCTCGGTCCTGCCCTTCTTCAGCCGCCCCCCCGCGCTGCCCCTTATGGGGCTGCCTCCCCCTCCCATGCCCCCCGCCCCCCTGTCCTCTGCTTTTGGGGTCCCTCCACCTCCTCCCGGAATTCCCTACCAGCACCTCCTGCCCCCTCCGCCCCGGCTGCCCCCTCCTCTGGCCGTGCCCCCTCCGGGGGCCGTTCCCCCCGCCCTGCACCTCAATCCCGCCTTTTTCCCGCCTCCCACCGCTGCGCTGGGACCCCCTCCGGATACCTACGGCAAGGCCATGGCCCCCTACAACCACAGCAGGTGAGCCGGGGAGTGGGAAGATTGGGGGGGGCAGAACAGACGTGGGAAGGTAGGGTGGGATGCTCCCAGAGGCTTTGGGTGTCCTGCTAATCCCAGAATTCCAGCAGCCGGGAGCTGGGCCCGCCGCCCCCGGCCGTGAGTGAGGGGGAGTTTGAGGAGATCATGAACCGCAACCGCGCCATTTCCAGCAGCGCCATTTCCAAGGCTGTGTCCGGCGCCAGCGCAGGTAATTCCCGCCTCATTCCCAAACCCTGTGCCAGGATAGATTCCCACTCCTGATCCCTTGGCTCCCGGCTTTCCCAGGCGACTACAGCAACGCCATCGAGACACTGCTCACGGCCATTGCCGTCATCAAACAGTCGCGCGTGGCCGGGGACGAGCGGTGCCGTGTCCTGCTCTCCTCCCTCAAGGATTGCCTGCACGGAATAGAAGCCAAATCCTACAGCAGCAGCTCCAGCAGCAGCTCCAGGTATCCCTATGGATCCCACCTAACCACATCCTCCCTCTGGATCTGGAGATCCAGCCCAGCGGGGCCCAGGGGATGCTCCCAGCAGGTGAGTGACTAAAAGGTCCCTCTTTGTCTTTCCCAAGGAAAAGGCACCGATCCCGGGAGCGCTCACCCAGCCGGTCCCGCGAGAGCAGCCGGAGGCACCGGGATCTGCTCCACAGCGACGAGCGGCACGAGGATTATTTCCCGGAGCGGAGCCGGGAGCACGAGCGGCACCGGGACAGGGACAGAGACAGGGACCGGCACCACTGAGGCAGGTCGGGGGCCCCAGAGCCACAGGGGAGGAGGGACAAGGGGGGCTCTGACCTCACCTTTCCTCTCTCCCCACAGGAATTCCACAGGAAGCGGTTTTTAATGGACTTGTATCGTATCCCCTCACCTCGACACCCCGAGGCCGCTCCGCCCCATCCCGGCCCCCTCCCAGCCACTCCCAGCCCTCTCCCAGCACCTCCTGGCCTTGGGAATCCTGCCCACTGCTGCTGCTGCTTCCTGGGGCCATCCCACTCTGCTCCGTGGACACTTGGACCCAAAGAGAAATGGTGCTTTTATTCCATGGAGGGAGGTTTGTGAGCCCTTCCCAATCCGGGGGGGGAACAGAGGGGACGGAGCCCTCCCGATCCCAGGATCAGGAGCCACATGGCAGCCTCTGGATCGCCTGGGGACACTCCTGTCCCCATCGTCCTGGCGGGACACTGTGCCACACTCCTCCTTTTCTACCCTCACCCTCCAAGAGCTGGGAAAAGAGGGGCTGGAGCTGGGCCGGGGGTCACCCCCTTCTCTATCCTGACATTCCCCACAGCAGCATTCCCACCTGAACGGCAGCTCCGGCCTCTCCTGCAGCACCTTCCTTGTTTTAGAGGAAGCGGAGGAGGCAGGGCAGGCTGCAATTCCCTTGTGTCCCCTCCTGATCCCTCGGGATCCCTGAGCAGGAGAGGGAGACCCCAGGAGGGTCGGGATGAGCTGGGACACGCTGGTGACTTCCAGGGCTGGAATCGCCCCCGGAGCTATTCCTGGGCAGGAAAACCCAGGTTCTGGGAAGTCTTTTTAAGTTGAACTCACCCCAAAATCAGGAATAATCCCCCCCAATTTCCCAAGCCCCCCAAGGTGGGAGCGCTCGGCAGGAGAGGTCCGGGTTTTTTTTACTTAACACCACAGATTTTTAGTTTCTTTCTGATAGTGGAGGGGAGAAAAAATTCCCTCAAAATGGCAGAGCAAATCCCTGGAAGCCCCAGCGAGGAGCTGCCCCCCCTCCTGCTCGCAGTGATTAGATTTGTCTTTGGATAGGTTGGGAAAATTGTGTAATAAACTCGATGACGTTGTCAAGTCTTTTACACAGCGTTCCTGTCACATTCCTGCTGTGGGATTTGGGATAATGAGGGAATGGGAGGGATTTGGGGAGCTTTTAGTGCCTGGTTTGCCTCACATCGTCCTCTGAGGGGCTCCTGTGTTTCCCAAGGCAGTTCGGAGCGCTCCCATTCACATTCCCAGGCACCAGGTAAAAATAAATATTTATTGGAAAATAGTAAATTATTCTGGAAGGGTGTAGAAAAAAATAAAGATTCTTCGTACCTTGAGCTGGCACAAACTTGGAGGGGGTGAGTCCGGGTGGGAGCAGGTCCCTGGCACATGCTGCGGGTGAGGTGGGAAGCAGGAAAAGCAGGAGGGATGTGTCCATGTGGGAGTGGGAAAGGTGGGAGGGATGAGTCCAAATAGAAGAGGGAACAAGCAGGAGGGATGTGTCTAGTTGGGAGTGGGAGAAGTGGGAGGGAGGATGTGTCCAGATGGGAGCAGAAAAGGTGGAAAGGATGTATCCAGGTGGAAGCAGGAAAGGTGGGAGGGATGAGTCCAGGTGAAATGAGGAGTAGAAAAAGTGGGATCCTTCCCTTTCCTGGGGCTGGGAAGTGGAGCTGGCACCGGTGACACTTCCCTGTGTCCCTGGGCCGTGTCCCCGCCGTGGCCTCAGTAGGGATCCGCACTACGGAAAAGAACAAAGAGGGATGTGTCAGCTCCAAACCAACCTGGAAAACTCCCATGGCGTGTCCCCAGTCCCGGGATGCGGCACCTGGAGAAGGAGAGCAGCGCCAGGAGGCCCAGGAGCAGCTCGAGGCCGTAGAAGAGGAGCAGGATGGCGCTCAGGAAGAATTCCAGGCGCAGGGAATAGGTCTGGAGCAGCAGGTAGTAGCTGGCCAGCGCCGCCGCCGGCACCGTGAGCGCCAGGCTGAGCGACAGCGGCACCTTCCGCCGGCACAGGTTCCCCTTGGAGCCTGCAGGATACACGGGATCAGGAACACCTTCTGCTACTCCAGGTTGCTCCAATGTGGCTGTGAGAACTTCCAGGGATGGGGCAGCCGCAGCTTCCCTGGGAAATTCATTCTGGTGCCTCGCTGCACTCACAGGGAAGAATTTCTTCCCAGTATCCATGGAATCCTGGAATGCTTTGGGTTGGAAAGGACCTTATATTCATCTCATTCCCGCTCCCTGCCGTGGGCAGGGAGGGACACTTTCCACCAGCCCAGGTTGCTCCAAGCCCCCTCCAGCGTGTCCTGGAGCATCCAGGGCTGGATTTCGGGGTTATCTCAGGACTCCGCACCCGCCGTGGAGCCTCTGGAATTTCGGAGGAGGGAACTCACCGAAGAAGATCCGCGTGGCCTCAGTGCCGAGGTAGAGCAGGAGCAGCACCACATCCAGCACCAGGTTGGAGACGGGATAGGGCAGGAGCAGCACTGCGGGAACAGCCGCGCGGGAATCACATCCCTGCCCGTCCCGCCGGGCTCAGGAAGGGGGCCGGAACGGGGGGCTCACCCTTGTACACGAACACGAACGCCTCCAGGAGGAAATAAGTGGCGCTGTACCAGCCGTTGAGGAAAAGCAGGATCTGCAGCGGCACCGAGGAGCGATGGCGGCCTGAGGGGACACGGGGCGGCCGTGAGGGAGGGGCGCGCGGGGGAGTGGTGTGGGGGGACGGCGAACCCTTGTAGCGCCTTGGCCGCCCCCCAGCACCGCTCCCAACCCCGGTTCCCCCCGATATCCCGCTTTTCCCGCCCCGCTCCCGCACCCACCCCTGGGCGCCATCTTCCATCTCCATGGGAACCGCCGCCGCCACGCCCGCCCGCCCGCCAGGGGGCGCCGAGCGCAACGCCGGGGCCGCTCTACCCGCCCCTCTCGATGGTCTTGCAGGGCCCAGCGCCCCGCTGCTCTACCCGCGTGTCTCTATGGTAGGAGGACAGACGGGCAGGGAGGGGGGTTCGAGTACCCCGCCCTCCCAAATCCTACGATCCACTGGGATGAGAATCCCACGCTGCAGAAGTGGGAATAACCCCGTTTGGTGGCTGCAAGCTCAGCGCTGACCAGGATCCAGTGAAGGTCAGGCTGTGGGGATGGCAGATGTGACACCAGGGGGTCTACAGAGAGAGAAAGACCCAGGAGCCACTGGAAAACACATCCCATTTATTCCTTTACAGTTCCCAAAGATATTCCAGCCCCAACCGAGGCTGTGCTGCCAGGATGGACTTTCCTGCAGGGACACCCCACAAGCCTCCCACTGACTCCCAGCATCCAGGAGGAAGAGCAGGAAGGACAAGCCAGGACTGATCCCAACGGAGCGCAGGGTGACTCCAGAGGATTCCAGGGATCCATCAGCCATGGAAGTGGGCAAATTCCTGGCGGAGCCACAGAGAATCCTGGTAGAAGAGGGGGTCTCCCAGGTGCACAGCTGTCCGCTTGTAGAAGTAGCAGTAAAGCACGGCCGCTGTGGGAATTTGGGGGGATTCAAGGCTTGGGATTTGGGCCCAAAGCATGTGGGATCCCCCTCAGCCCTGACCCCAAGAGTTCTTACCCAGCCTCTGGAAAACAAAGAGGGTCTGGAGGCCTTCAGTCCAGATGAAGCGTCTGGAGTCGCGCCAGCGCAGGTTCTGAGGGGATGGAAAAGCAGGGAATAACCAACCCCTGGAGCAGTTTGGGGAGCCCCCTTCCCCAAGGTTCTGAGGGGAACAGAGAACTGGGAATAACCCCTGGAGCAGTTCAGGGGAGCCCCCATTCCAGAGATTCTGAAGGGCATGGAGGGATGGGAATAAACCCTGGAGAAAGTTTGGGGGAGCCCCATCCCAAAGGTTCTGAGGGGGATGGAGGCACATGCAGCTCGGAATAACCCCTGGAGTGGTTTGGGAAGCCCCCCATTCCGAAGGTTAAGCAGCTCAAGGGATTTAGGCCCGGAGCCAGGCCCTATTCTGGCTTCAGACCTACAGATCCCTGAAAATCCCTGAAAATCCCCTTCCCAGCCAACATGGGCAGGGCTGGAGCAGCCGCCCTGGCACAGGATGGCTCCCAGCCCTCCCCAAAACATCCCCTGTGTCCTGCAGCTGGAACAGACCCTTGGAAAAAGGGTTGTCCAGGGGATGGGAGGGGTGCAGGATCTGCTCTGTTGGGAAGGGACCAGGGAGGAATTTATTTGGGAAAGTGGAAAGCACTGCCAGGAGAGAACCAGGAGCCACACATGGCAGGCCCACGTGTAGGGATTAATCCCTGGGAAAAGAGGAGCTGCTGGAATAAGCTTTCCCTTGGGAAAGAGCATTTTCTGACAAGTTATTCCCTTAGGGAATGGGCAGGGATGGGCTGGCACGGGAAAGGACCCTTTCAGCCCAATTCCGACACTGGGATCATGGAAGGGGACATCAAACGGTCACTGTGGGGGACTTGGAGCTGCTGGACTTTTCCCGGGGAAGGAGTGACTTCTGACAGGTTATTCCTTAAGGAATAGGCTGGGAATGGGCTGCGATGGATTTGATTGGTATAGGGCAGGACCCTTCCAGCCCAACTCCAACAGCAGGATCACAGAAAGGGACACCAAACTGTCCCTGTGGGGGAAGACGGTGAGAGAGGGCCGAGGGGGAGCCCTCCTGGGCTAATCCCTCAGGAGAATCCAGTCGTTCCCAGCCCACCCTACCATGATCCAGACATGGAAGGAGATGCTGAGCGCCAGGTAGGCAGCGGAGAGCAGGATGGTTCCCTTGAACTTATGGAAGAGCAGGCTGACCAATCCCGCCTGGAACACGAAGGTGTTGAAAAACATGAGGAAGACGATGATGACGTTGAAGAGGATGGCGATGTCCTGGATGCTGCCGGGAAAACGGGAATCGGGGCATTTGGGATCTCCGGAATGTCCCACCTTCCCCCCCCATTCCTGGCACTCACATGAAGAGGACGAGCTGGACGGCCGGAGCCGTCCGCAGCAGCTCTGAGAAGGAATTCACGAACAGGTCGTAGGAAAGCAGCAGGAACTGCAGGAACAGCACCAGACTGTAGTTGCTGGGCTGGAGCATCCTCCTTTCCTAGGCCTTGGAGCACTCAGCCCCAGCATTCCCGACGGATCATGGCGCTGGGGGGGCTCGGCAGGGCTGCTTCCAACATCCCACACCTGGAGAAGGGGAGCGGGGATTGTTTGGCACATGGGATGGATCCCAGGGGCTCTCCTGAAATCCAGGACCTGGAGAGGGGGTTTAGGGATTGTGGGATGGATCCTGGGGGCTTTCCCAAAATCCAGGACCTGGAGGGAGCACAGGGATTGTTTGGCAGCTGGAATGGATCTCGGAAAACCAGGAAAACCCACCAAGCTGTGTCCCCCTCCCGCTTCAAATCCATCCCAAATCTCCATGTGAGGAAATCCAGGGATGAGGGAGCTATGCAATAATCCCAGGGAGCAGCGTCCAGGCAGGTTATTCCCGGCTCCATGGGCAGTGCCAGGCAGGACACGCTCTAGGAACAAGTCGGGGCATGTCCCACTCCGGGCAGAGGAGAGGGGTGAGGATACAGCTGGGAATTTGGGAACACGGGAGCAGGTACAGCACTCCTGGGACATGGATCCCATGGGAACAGCCCCCCCCGGGATCATCCTGGCTGGAGAAGGGAGTGAGGGAGTATGGGAAATTGGGGATCCTCCATGTCCTGGAAGGAGAGGGGTGGGATGGGGAATTCATTCCCTGAGGGGGAGATCCGGGGATGAAAATGTGGGGAAAGGGATGAAAAGGGAGAAAAAGTGCTGGAAATGGGGGAAGGGGTTAGAAATGGGGGAGAAGAAGAGCTGGACACGGCGGTAGGAAAGGGATGGAAAGGAGGAAGAGTGGTTGGAAATGAGGGAAAAAGGATTGAACGTGGGGAAAAGGAGGCTGGAAAACGTCTGGATATGGGAGTGGAACTGGCGGGGAATGGGTTGAACATGGGAAAAAAGGACTGGAAGTGGAAGGAAGGGCTGCATACGAAGGAGAAAAGGACTGGATATGGGAATTAAGGGGGTCACCCCCCTCCCCTTCCCCACAGACTCCCCCCCACCATTCCGGGGCACCCGCCTCCCCCTTTCCCCCACCGGCTCCCTGCCCGCGGGGTCGCCCCTCGGTGCTCCTAACCCCCCCCGTCGGGTTCCGAGCGTCCCGTCCCGGGTGGTCCCCGCCATGTCCCCCCGCCCCGGGCGCTGACCCGCAGCCGCCATCTTGGTCTCCATGGCAACAGCCGGCGGGGCCCGGAAGAGACGCCGGAAGTGTCGCCCGGAGCACCCGCTCGGGGCCGCTCTGGCCGCCGCTCTCGGTGGCGGCGCGTTGGGGAAGGCGGGGGGACCATAGAGATGAGCGGGCAGACAGGCGCCCGCCAAGATGGCGACGCCCAGTGACAAGGAGGGGGCGGTGGGGCCCAGGTACGGCCCCGGGGGAGGGGGGGACCGGGAGCGGCTCCGGGGGCTGGGAGGGGCCGAGGGGCCTCCTGGCCTGGGGTTGGGGGAGTTTCAGGACCGGGGCCTGTGTTCCCAGGATTTTGGGGAGCCATGGGATCCCGTTTCCCAGGTTTTGGGGACCCGCGAGTCCCTCTGTCCCCAGGTTTGGGGCCCCACGTGCCCACCCCTTTCCACCCCAATGCCCCGTGGGGAGGCTGATTTTGGGAGGCCGAGACTTCCCCCACCCCCGGAGGGGCCAGAAATAGCCCTTTGTGGGGGAACATGTCACATGCAAATCACATGCAAATGAGGCTCCTGCCAAGCACCCCCTGCGGGGAGGGACACGGGGACAAATGACTTCGAGAGCCCCTCGCTGCCATTCCCTGGGAATTCGGGTCTGCACGTCCTGCTCCATCCCTGGATCCGTGCCAGTCCAGGGAGCAGCTGGACCCCCAACACCCCCTCGAGATTCACCAGTTCCCCTTTCCGTGGCTCCTCCGCGGGGGGTTTGGGAGCATGGTCGGAGCCGTCCCCAGGTGCCACCACTGCCCCCCTTGAATCCGTGCCTGACCTCCTTCCCAACTCAGGGAGCAGATGGGCCTGCTCACCCTTTCAGGGTTTCTGGTTCCTCTTTCTGTGGCTCCTCCCTGGGGGGTGTCCACCCCTCCATCCATCCATCCCTGACCTCCTTCCCAGGCCTGGGAAGCAGCTGGGGCACAGCCACCAATCCTGGTTGGGAAGCAGCTCCATCCCTGTCACCTTTCCTGGGCTGGGAAGCAGCTCCATCCTTGTCACCCTTCCCAGTCCAGGCACCACCACCCCCCCGCCCTTGGTTCCCTGTGCCCCCCCACCCCCTCAGGGTTCCCAGTTCCCCTTTCTGTGGCTCCTCCCCGGAGCGGCTCCGGACCCTGAGCCGGCTCCTCGCTCGTCCCCTGAGCTGGCTCCTCGCTCGTCCCCAGGTGCCACCAGCGCTCCATGGCCATGCTGGACATTTCCTTCCCACCTTTCTGTGCCTTCCTGGGATCCCTGGGCTTGCTCTGCGTGGCCCTGGTGGGCACCTGGTGCCAGCACTGGCGAGGGGGCTTTTCCCTGGATGGTGGATCCCGGACTTTCAACTGGCACCCGGTGCTGATGGTGACGGGATTGGTGGTCCTCTACGGAGCAGGTGAGCACAGGGAGCGCTGGGAATCCCTGCACGGCCCCTTCCTGACCTTTTTTCCCCTCACAGCCGCCCTGGTTTACCGCGTTCCCAACACCTGGAACGGCCCCAAGCTTCCCTGGAAGCTGCTGCACGGCGGCCTGGCTTTGGGAGCATTCGTCCTCACTGTGCTGGGCTTGGCAGCCGTGTTCCGCTTCCATAATTCCAACGGGACGCCCAACATGTACTCCCTGCACAGCTGGATGGGGCTGGGAACCATCCTGCTCTTCTCCTGCCAGGTGGGAGCATCCTCAGATCCCCCAAACTCCCCCCAGCATCCTGAGCTTTCCTGTCCTCACTGCGTTTTCCCGCAGTGGGCAGCGGGATTTGGAGCGTTCCTGCTTCCCTGGGCTCCCGCCTGGCTCCGGCAGCTCTACAAGCCCATCCATGTTTTCTTTGGCTCCACCATCCTCATGTTGTCCGTGGCTTCCTGTGTGTCGGGAATCAATGAGAAACTTTTCTTCAGCCTGTGAGTGCCAGGATGGGGGGACTGGGGAGACCCCTCGCAGGGACTGGGAGGTTTGGGGTGGGATTTTGGCTGAATTAGGGAAAGGTTGGACACATCCAGAACATTCCCAGCCCCACTTCTTCCCCCCAGGAAAAACGGGACCACGCAGTACAAGCTCCTTCCCGCCGAGGCCGTGTTTGCCAACACTTTGGGAATCCTGATCCTGCTTTTTGGGGTGCTGGTGGTGGCTGCCCTGGCCAGGCCCAGTTGGAAGCGCCCGGATTCCAACTCCCTGGATTCCCGCCAGGTACCGGGAACACACCGGGTGGGTTTGGGAAGCAGAATTTGGGAGCGTAGCCCCTGGGGTGGGGAAGGATCCAGGCTGATCCCTGTCTTCCCACAGCCCCTGCTCTCTGCCGAGCGCTGATCCCAAAGGATCTCTCAGCACTCCTGAGGTGTTTCCTGCACCCTTGCCATCCCAAGGATTTCCCAGCGCTCCCAGGGTGTATCCTGCATCTTCGTGCCTCCAGGTGCCAGATCCTGCCTGGATAACCAGCTGTGCCAAACCCCAGCCCTTCCCGGTGCCATTCTGGAGCTGCCAGAGCCTTGTCAGGACAAAGAGGAACATCCGTGTTATTCCCATGTGTCACTCCCACCCCAGGGGATCTGGCTCAGCAGGACAGGGATGGAGCCACTCAGGGCCATGGAATAAAACAGCAGCTTCTGCAGGAATCCTGCACTCAACTCCAGGGGGATAAGTGGAGCCAGGGTGGGATTGGTGGAAGCAGTGGGATCTCGGGAGCAGGTCCTGGCCAAGCGAAGCTGTGCCTTCCAAGGGCTCCTCTGCTCCCTGGGAACGTGGGATAGATCCCCGGGGTCACCCCACGGGATTTGGGATCACGCTGTGCCCCTTCCCAGCTTCTCCTTTCCCAGGATCCCTCCGGCCCCCGTGGCCAGAGCCATGTGAGCCCTGTGCTTCCCCCTCCGCACCCCAGAGTGGGGTTTCCTTCCTCCCCCACTGTCACACGATCCCTCTTCCTGTCCCCCTTCCCGGCCTGGAGCAGTGGAGGGACACAGGGGGCTACTGAGGGACATGTCCCTGTCCCGTGGGGGGGACACAGGGGGCTTTTGGGGGCCACAGAGGTTTTTTGGGATACACATCCCTGTTACTATGGGGGACACGGAAGGTTATTGGGAGACACATCTCCAAAGATGTTTTGGGATACATGTTCCCTGTCAACACATGGGGGACACGGGTTTTTTGGGATCCACATCCCTGTTGCTGGTGGGGGACACAGAGGGTTTACTGGGAGACAAGGCTCCAAAGGTTTATTGGGATACACGTCCTCGTCACTATGAGGGGACACGCAGAGGTTTTTTGGGATACACATCCCTATGACCGAGAAGGGACAAAAAGATTTAGTGGAGGACACAGAGGTTTTTTGGGATCCACATCCTTGTCAGTGTGAGGGGACAAAAAGGGTTACTGGGGGACTGGTCTCCTAAGGTTTATTGGGATCCACATCCCTGTAGCTATAGGGAGACAGGGAGGGTTTTTGGGAAACACTAATGGGGGGTGGCCAGGGGGTCCCGCAGCCCCCCCAGCACGGCCCCCAGCACGGCAGCCACGGCCACAGCCCCGGGATCAGGATGCTCCAGCCGGGATGAGCGGATGTAACTGGCTCTTCCTGCCCCGGCCTCCATGTCCTTGGTGGCCTCTGCCGCCACCTCGGCGCTCTGCCAGGGAAAACCAGGATGTTTTCTGGGATAACGGCCAGGATTCCCATTCTGTTCTCCCACCATCCCAGCTCCGGGCTCTCCATACCTGCACCGCGGCCTCCAGCACCTGGAGCGGGTCAGCCCCGGGAATGCGCAGGGAATGCAGAGCCTTTGCGGCTGCACACAGCGAATCCAGCTGGGAAAAACAGGAACGGGGCTGGGAGCCAGTGCTGAGGCCAGGCTAGAACCCCCTGGCACCCCCTGGAATTTCCCCTTGGCTCCTGGGTATCCCACGGGATTCTGGAACTCACCATCGTCCGGTCTCCTGGTGCGGCTCCTCCATACCTATGTTGGATGCAGAGAAATTAGGACTGGGATTCCTGGGGGGACTGGGATCCCACAGCCCCTGGCACTGACCTTTGCATGGCGTCGATCCCAGAATCCACGGCATCAGCCCACGCCGCGGGATCGCTCCGGTTGCGCAGGCTCCGGGCGGCCGCCGTCAGGAAGAGCCCGTAGAGCTTTGGGAATACAGTCACCCCCACCCTGGGAACGCTTCCAGGTATCCCCCCACATTCCTATTCCCACTCACCACTCCGGAGGAGCCTCCCATCTTTTCCAGCAGCAGGTCAGCCAGGCAGGAGAGGAGCTGGGATGGGGCGGCCGGAGGCGGACAGGAGCGCATCCATTCACGGATAGCTGCAGGAATGGAGGGAAGAGCGGGATAGGGAGTAGTCCTGGGCTCCCATGGGGATCCCTGTCCCTTGTGGGGACAAGCAGGAATGCCATGAGGAAGCTGCCACTGGATGTAGAGACATTCCAGGCCTGTGGCTCCCAGGGTGTGGAAAGGGCACCTTGGGGGTCCCAAATCCCACAGATGGATGTCCCAGGGAAACCCCACTCCTGGGATAAGCAGGAACACTCCCAATTCCATAGGGCAGCTGCCTCTGGAAGCAGTGCCAGGGATACAGTTCCCTGTGGAAACTCTGTTCCCTAGGGTAGGGCACTTCAGGGATCCAAGAAAGGAAGTCCCCACTCCTGGGACAAGCAGAGACACCCCCCAGTTCCATGGGGAAGCTGCCACTGGATACAGAGGCATTCCAAAGGCAATGGGGACGCTGTTCCCTAGGAAGGGGCACCTCAGAGTTCCCAAACCCAAGAAGGGACATCCCGGTGAACTCCCCACTCCTGGGCAGTGCCGGCGAGGACACCCTCTCCCTGGATATTCCCACACCCACCATGGGCCGCCCGGGCGTGCGTGTGACCGCAATCCCCATCTCCTGCTGCCCGATCCAGCTGGTTGAGCTTATCCTGGATATCCAGCAAAGTGCTGCACACCCGCTCCAGGACCTGCTCCACCTGTGCTGCTCTAGGCCCTGCGGAACAAGACATTCCTGAGGAAAAGCCAGGCATGGGAGGGGTGACAAGGGATTTCAGCTCCCAACCTGTGCCGGTCTCGTCCATTGGCTTCCCTGGAACATCCATTGGCGCTAGAATCTCCTCTCTCCGGGTGGTCGCCGGTCCCGCGGGAATGTTGGGCCAAGCCATGGCCATGGTCTTGGCGTCTGGAAAAGAGGATCCTGCTGGATCCTTGCTGGCAGATCCAGCAGCCAGGAATTCCACTCCCAGGCATCTTGTGTCCATCCCACAGAACCTGGAAACCCCTGTGTCCCCATTCCAGGTGCATCCAGCAGCCAGGAATTCCACTCCCAGACATCCCACTGACCTTGTGTCTGTCACCCAGCTGTGTCCCCTTTCCAGGCATGTCCAGCAGCCAGGAATTCTGCTCCCAGGCACTTCATGTCCCGTCACCCAGCACCTGCTGACCCCTGTGTGCCCATCCCAGGCCACATTCCCACCGGGAACTCACCAATCAGGCGCAGCAGCTCCCCGTCCACCACCATGAGAGTGAGGGAGACTCCGGCCATTTCCAGGGCTGTCATGAAGCATCCCACCAAGGCCCGGGCAATGCGGATCCCTCGGCTCTCTGCGGGATCCAGGAGCCAAGGGAGGTCATTCCAGAAGCTCCAGAGCCAGGGAATAGGAGGATCCCAAGAAACTCCACACTCACCCAGTCTGCTCACGGCAGCTCCAGCCACGATTCCCAGCTCCAGGCAGGATAATCCACCCAGATTGTTCACCATAAGCACCACGGAGCATCCTGAGGGATGACGGGTGGGATGAGACCGGGATCAGGGATTTGGGGGGCAGGGGGGATCCAGGGGAGCTCACCAGGGGTCAGGGATATGTGGGAAGCATTGGATGGATCCGTCATGTGCTTCAGCATCGTCTCCACGGCCTCATCCGCCGGCAGCACCTGGAGGGGATGCAGCAGGTGGGAAGAGTGGAGTGGGATGTGGGAATGCGGGGGGGATCTGGGAATAGGGATCCCCCGGATATCCCTATAGCCAGATCCCCCCTCACCTTCATCCTGCGCACTCCGGCCTCTCCGTGGATCCCTATGGACACGGGGCCAAGTCACATCCCACACTTCCCACGGGAAACAGGGAATCTCAGCCCCCTCAGGGATCTGGGAGGGATCCAGAATGGGATCCAGGGAGCCCCTCCTCACCCAGCCCCAGCTCCATCTCATCCTCAGCCAGCCGGAATGAGGGCTTGGATCCCGGGATGCTGCAGGGAGACAGGCTGAGACCCAGGGTACCTGCACGGGATGGAATGTGCAAAATGTTCCCCAAACCTGCAGGGACTTGGGAAAGGAGCTGGGGGGAAGCTGATTTTCCAGGAAAGATGGTGACAATGGGGCTGACTTTCCAGGAGGGGATGGGGATGATTTTCTAGAAGGAATGGAGGGAATGGGGCTGGTTTTCCAGGAGAGAATGGGGCTAATTTTCCAGGAGGGAATAGGGAAAATGGGGGCTGATTTTCCAGGAGAGATAGGGGGAATGGTGCTGATTTACTGGGAGGGATGGGTCGGAGTGACACAAGACAGCATTTCCATGGGATAAAGGATCCCACAACGCACCCATGGCTTTGGAAGCCGCCGTCACCTTCTCCACGATCTCATCCAAACCCGCTCCCGCCTCTGCCAGTGCTCCCGCCACCTGCCAAGGACAATGTCAGATGAGTGACCCTGAAAATTCCCAAAATTCCCAAAATGCCTATACGGGAGCCCAGGCAGGACTTTATGGATGAGGACAGTTCCGCAGATCCCGCGTCTCCCGGCTTTTCCCGGTGTGGCGAAGGCACAGTCGTCTCCCACCACCACCATCCGCACGTCGGCCCCTTCGGAGCGCGCCCGCTCCAGGGCCATCCCAAAATTCAGCCGGTCCCCAGTGTAGTTCTTCACGATCAAGAGGATCCCAGCTGTGGGAATGACATGGGAAGAACGGGAATGACCCGGAGACAACAGGAACAACATAGACAGAACGGGAATGACATGGAGAGAACAGGAATGATGCGGGGTGAAAGTGAATGAGAGCACAGGGATTCCCAGGCAGGAATCCCAGAGCTGCATCCTGGTGTATTTCTGACCTGCTCCGGCCTGTGTGAGAACCCGGATGGCCGCCAGGACACTGCCCACGGATGGGGATGTGAACACGGCTCCGGCCACCACTCCGGTCAGCATTCCCTTCCCAACGTATCCTGCGGAGTGGGATTGGGAGCTCGGCACTGTCTCCGTGTCAGGGGGGCTCCGGGAAGTGGGAATTGTGGGGTCTCACCTGCGTGGGCTGGCTCGTGGCCGGAGCCCCCTCCGGACAGCAGGGCCACGCGGCCACGCACAGCCACAAGGTCATCCCGCAGGATCACCCGGTGGCCCTGCAGGAGCCGGAGCCCGGGATTGCAGGACACCAACCCAGCCAGGGCATCGTCGGCACAGCCGGACACGGAGTTCACCAGCTTTTTGGGAGTCTGGGGGAACAAAGCACGGTAAGTAGGGGAAAAAGGAGGATTGGTGTCCCCCTGTCCCGGCCTCACCTCCATGGGAGCAGAGGATCCTGCGCAGCGCTTGGATGCAGGGCTGGAATCTGTTGAGAAAGAGGGCAAGGTCCAGGCTGGACATGGGGGAGGTCCTGGCACAGGGACAGTGGGAAGGGAATGGGGCGGGACGTGGAGTCTGGTGGGAATGGGGGGTTGGGTTTTTCCCAAATGGAGACCCCCTGTCAAAAAGGGATCCCATTTTTGGGAATGGGGATCAGGATGGAAACACACCCCCCCCCCAAACAGCGACCATCCCCAGGCAGGGATCCCCTTTTTTGGGATGGGGGATGAGAAGGAGACCACCCTCATATACGGACCTCCTTTTGGGATGGGGGATTGGGATGGGGGATTGGGATGGGACCCCTCCCCAAAAAAGGGACCTCCCCAAAGAGGGATCCCCTTTTTTGGGATGGGGGAGACGAGGATGGGACAACGCCCAAACAGTGATCCCCTTTTGGGATGGGGAGGAAAAGGATGGGGCCATCCCCCAAAAAACAGGGGCCCCGTTTTGGGATGGGGGGCAAGATCCCCCGGGATATGGGTGGGATCAGGGTGGGATACAGGTTTTGGAGCCCCCCAGCACGGGGGAAGAGCAGGGAAGAGTCCGCACCGCCTTCCCCGCGGGACATGGGCCGGGATCGAGCCGGGATCCCCGAGAATTCCGCGGCTTTCCTGAGGGGCCCTGCGCGCGCCCCACCCCGCACCGGCGCGCGCCGCGGTCCTCCAGCCGCGCCTCTCGTCTGCTCCGCGCGGTCCTCCCAGCGAGCAAGAGCGGCCCCGTCTCGTCTGCTCCTCCCCGGCCTTCCCAGCGGGCCAGAGCGGTCGGGCGAAGTTAGTTCCGCCGGAAGCGGCGGCGGCGCGGAGAGGCCGCGCTGCTGGTTTCCTCCCGGTTCCTCCCGCGGCCTCCCCCGGCACCCCCAAACATGTCCTACAACTACGTGGTGACGGCGCAGAAGCCGACGGCCGTCAATGGCTGCGTCACCGGTACCGCGCGGCGGCGGCTGGGGGGACACCCCCCGGTTTGGGGGGGTTCGGTAGCGGAGGGGGTTTGGGGGTCCCCAGGCGAGGCGTTTTGGGGTCTCTGGCGGGGGTTTGGAGGCTCGGGGGGATGGCTGGGGTACGAGGGAGTTTGGGGCGTCCCGGAGGGGATTTGGTTACAGGGGGTTTGGGCTCCTGCGTGGGTTTGGGGGACAGGGAGGGTTTGGGGGCCCCAGGCGGGGTTTTGGGGGACAGGGCGGGTTTGGGGACACAGGGGAGGTTTGGGCTGCAGAGAAGTTTTAGGATATGGGGGTGTTGGGGGCCTGGGGGGATTTTAGGGGCCCCATGGGGAGGGTTGTTGGGATACGGGAGGATTTGGGGGGTGTGTGGAGTTTTGGGATAGGAGAGGAGTTTGAGGGTTCCAAGGGATGTTGGGGTATGAGGGGGAGAGATTGGGAATATGGGGAGATTTTGGCGTACGGGGGAATTTGGGGGCTACAGGGAGGTTTGGGGTATCAGGGGGACTTTGGGGTCCGTGAGAAGGGGGTTGGATGGGGGGATCTGGGGGCACTGGAGGGGAATTTTGGATGTGGAGAGGATTTGGGGGTCCCAGGGGGTTTTGGGGTATAGGGGGGGTTTGGGAGATACAGGAGAAGTTTTGGGATATGGGGGGACCTGAGGGATTTTGGGATGCTGGACATGGGGATCCCAGCTCTGTACTGGGGTGGGGGTGCAGCAGGTGTTGAAGAAACCCCGGGAATGTGAATTCCCGTGGAAAGCCGACAAGGGAAGGGAGATTCCAGGGACAAAATGCGGAGCCCGAGCTCTGGGAACGCAGTTCCTGAGTGGGGCTGTGGGGGAGGAATTGGGAATTCTGGGAGGAGGCAAAGTGAAGATCGGCAGGATATCCCTGAGGTGGGATATCTTCCCGCTTCTCCCAGGACACTTCACCTCCTCCGAGGACCTGAACCTGCTGATCGCTAAGAACACGCGACTGGAGATCTATGTGGTGACGGCCGAGGGGCTGCGGCCCGTCAAGGAGGTGGGAATGTACGGCAAAACTGCCGTCATGGAGCTCTTCCGCCCCAAGGTGCGTCCCAGGAAAACACCCAAAGGGCCAGGGTGGGAGGGATTTTCCCGGCACAGCCTCCTCTGGACGGTGTGTCCGTGTTTTCTGCGCAGGGGGAGAGCAAGGACCTGCTGTTCATCCTGACGGCCAAGTACAACGCCTGCATCCTGGAGTACAAGCAGAGCGGCGACAGCATCGACATCATCACCCGCGCCCACGGCAACGTCCAGGTGAGGGAAGCACGGCGGGAACGCCTGGAATGGGAATTCCCGGCCCCGCTGGATCAGTGCCGCTGGATTTGGGATGAGTCACCTGCTACCTCGGGTGTTTCCAGGGTTGCCCTCTGGCTCTGTGAGGATTTGTGGCATTATTCCCTTCTGTGGGCTGGGAATTCGTTCCAGGGCCTCACAAGCCGTGCAGGGAAGGATTTATTCCCAATATTCCAGCTAAACAGTACGTGGAATCGTGGAATGGCTTGGGATGGCAGGGACTTAAATCCCCTCCAGCTCCACCCCCTGCCAAGGGCAGGGACACCTCCTACTATCCCCGGCTGCTCCAAGCCCTGTGCAGCCTGGCCTTGGACACTTTCAGAGATGGGACAGCCACAGCTTCTCTGGGAATCCATTGCAGGGCCTCCCCACCCTCACAAGGAAGGATTTATTCCCAATATCCCATCTAAACAGCACATGGAATCCTGGAATAATTCTGGTGGGCTTCTGAAACTCATCCAATTCTACTCCCTATACCGTGGGAAGGGACACCTTCCCTAGACCAGGACAAAACTGTGTTCTTGAGAATAATGAATATGGGATGATAAATGAAATGTAAATAAAATTAGTGCCCCAAACAGAGTGTAAGGCCCAGTTTTCCTTGGGAAATGAGTCCTTTGGGAATTCGTGGCCGTTGTTTGCTGGGGTAGCGTTGAGAATGACGGGCAGCAGGTGGAGGTAGGAATGTCCTGTTGGGAATATCTGGGAAAAGTCCTTAATCTTCCCATGCCAGGGGGACACGTGGAGGTGCCAAAGTCGTTCCCAGCCGAGGAACTCCAAGGGATCTGTTGGAGCTGATAACAGGGCTGGGTTTTGGGAGGAGGATTTTTGGTCACAGTTATCAAATCAGAGACCAGGAAAGGGCTGTGGCTCCTCTGGATCATCCAGTGTGAAGTTGGGGCTGGAAAATCAGGTTTAGGGGCTGATCCCAGAGTGCCATATTCCCAGGAGAGAAAAAGTGGTGTGGGAGCAATTCCAGGTGGAAAAGCAGCTCCTCCTTAGGCTTGGTGGCTTTTCCAGCTGGAATTCTGGGGGCTGGTTTTCCTGGAGGCCCCTCAGGGATCTTTTCCCGGCACTAATCCCCTTCTCCCTTCCCTTCTCCGTGGATTCGTCCTCCAGGATCGCATTGGCCGACCCTCCGAGACTGGGATCATCGGGATCATCGATCCTGAGTGCCGGATGATCGGGCTCCGGCTCTACGATGGCCTCTTCAAGGTCATTCCCTTGGACAGGGAGAACAAGGAATTAAAGGCCTTCAACATCCGCCTGGAAGAGCTCCAGGTCATCGACGTGAAGTTCCTCTACGGATGCCAAGCTCCCACCATCTGTTTCGTCTACCAGGTACGGCTTTTCCATGGAAAATCCACATGAATTCCTGGGCAGCTTAGCCTTGGGTGGGAATGTTTTCCTTGTTAAACCCTCCGGAGGAGCTCGTGGATCATTCCAGCAATTGGATTAGATCCAGGATGAGTTGTTTCCCTGAGCAAGACTTGAGCCTTTCCAAAAAAAACAAGGCAATTGGGATTTTTAGGAGGCAGCTCCAAGTGTAAAGGTGATCTGTGATCCAAAACCTCTCCCATCACCTGGCTCTTCAAGGAAAGAGCATTCCAAGGCCTTCTCCAAACCCTTATTTTAATCCAAAGAGCCATTGCTGTGCTGACTGAGTGAAGGATTAGTTTTCCTTTGCCAAATTCTAGGTTATCCCGTGGCAGCAGTGATTCCATTATTCCCTGTTTGGGCACTGCTGGATCCTCCCAAATTGTTCCTGAGTCAAGGAATGGGGGAGAAGCCACTTTGCCACCACACAGCTGGGATTTGAGGGAACAATTGGGTGATCAGAAGGCTTTCCAACCTTCGTGATTCCAAGATTCCATGTCTAACACTCAGAAATCCTTGGAGGAAGAGTGGGATCTTATAAAGCTCTGGATTATTTTGATTCCTGCCTGTGGAAAGGAGGATTTTCCCAAGCAGCTACCTTCATTCCTTTTCAATTTATTAACCATTATCCCGGGATTTGGACCAAACAGAGCAGCAGGGAGTGGTTTTGCAGGAGATGAGGTGGAATTTCCTTATTTCTGGGATCTTGTGTCTTTTTTTCCAGGACCCTCAGGGCCGGCATGTGAAGACGTACGAGGTGTCCCTGCGGGAGAAGGAATTCAACAAAGGCCCCTGGAAGCAGGAAAACGTGGAGGCCGAAGCCTCCATGGTCATTGCAGGTGGGGAAAGATCCTTCTTCCAGTTTTGTTTGTTTTTTTTTTCTAGCCTGGATGCCTCAGTTTTTCCACACGGGAAAAGACTCATGGGATATTTGTTGTCATTCCCGCAGTTCCGGAGCCCTTCGGAGGCGCGATCATCATCGGGCAGGAATCCATCACCTACCACAACGGGGACAAATACCTGGCTATTGCTCCTCCCATCATCAAGGTGGGTGGGTGTGGAAATCCAGGACTGAATCCCATGGAATTCCTCCTTGCCCAGTCCTGAACCCCGCAGAATTTCTCCTTTCCTAGTCCTTATAGGCAGGAATTCCAACTGCTGCCATCCCAGGCCTGGCTTAATACTACTTGGACTTCCAGAGGTTTGACTTTCCAAACAGTCACCTTTGGATCCATGATCTGTGGAACTCTTGGAGAAGGGGCAAAACCTGGAATGTTTGGGCCCCTTGGAATGGGATTAATTAAGATTTAACGTGTGGTTTGGACAAAATTCAAAGTGGGAGCCTGGCTTTGTTTCAGGCAAAAATATGGATGAGCCCCTTGGAGACTTGGGAGGCAGAGAACAACAGACTTAGGGATTTTGAGATGGAGGTTGGATTTATGGGGTTTGTGGGAATAACAGCCCACTTCCTACATTTAGTGGGAGCAATGGCATGGCTGAGGTGCTGCTCCAGGCTGGAATTACCAACCAAAAGTCCTTTTAGGCTAGAAATAAGGAAAGAACCCTAAATCTTGGATGAAAAAAGTGGGAGCCTGGAGCTCTGGGATAGTGAGTCTGGGATCCTGAAGCAGGGAACGAGTCACCAGAACTCCAGTTTTGGGGCTGTTCCAGTGGATTCCAAGAATTCCCTCCTTTCCCTGCAGCAAAGTACCATCGTGTGCCACAACCGCGTGGATCCCAACGGATCCCGGTATTTGTTGGGAGACATGGAAGGAAGGCTCTTCATGCTACTCCTGGAAAAGGAGGAGCAGATGGATGGCACCGTCACCTTGAAAGACCTGCGTGTGGAGCTGCTGGGAGAGGTAGGCCTCACATTTCCTGGGATTTTCCCAAGCTTGGAAAGGCTCTGTGCAGGAATTGTGTGGGATGGTGATTCTATTCCTGTTTTTCGCAGCTGTAACCTGTTGGTTGCTGGGAAATTCCTTCTTAAATTCACACCATCTTCCCGTTTTTCACACC